GGAGCGAGGGAGGCAACCTCACAGGTCTCCTTGTGGCCTGGAAATTCTTCAATCAGAGTCTGATCTCCATCCCTTCCAATGCCCCCTGGGGTGGATACAATGGTCTGATTCATTTCTTCTCTTGACCAGGAAAGAGAAGACGCTAGGATGGTTTTTCCTCTGAGCTTCTACCCAGAAACCCCCCTAGTGTCTACACTGGCACTGTCCACAGCCATGGAGTGGATTATTTAGCAAGGGGGTTAATGTGTGGGCTCAGGAACTGGACTGCCTTGGTTCAATCCTAGCTCTGCCACTCCCAAGCTATCTGAGCTTGAGCAAGTGGCCTAACTTTTCTGTGCCTCAGTTTTCCCATTTGTAAAATGAAGGTAATAATAGCACCCACTAGCAAGGTGCTCGGAGGGTTAAATGCCTTAGTTCCATCCTGTGTGCTTGAAACAGTGCCCAGCACATAATTAGAACTTCATGTGTTACCTGTTATTATAATTATTATTTCAATATTTTTTATTCCAGCTTCTCTCTGAGCTCCTACGGATCTGAGAACTCAAGGGGGTCTCTCACCCCCAAGATGGAGGAGGAAAGAGTTTTCCCAATAGCTGAAGAAAGCTGGGATCCCTGATTTTGCAAAGCCCCCCAAGCCTGCCCAAGGGATGAGGTACCATGGAGAGGGAGACCTTCTATGAAACCATGAATGAAATATGCGAGGCATCAACACACACGGATGTACATGTATGCACGCAGCCCTTGCCCCACACAGCCCCTTTTAGAGTGACTTACTTGAGCACAGAATGACATGGTTACCCAAAGCCCTCACACAGCCACACACCTGGTCACACACATTTTATACAACACCCAGACAGATGGACAGAGTCATGGGGACACTCACATACAGTCCTTTACACACAGCTACAGCTGCCCAAATACCGCTGAGATTAACACAGACCTCATTGGCTGTCACATCGCCTGTCACACACGGATAGATACACAACTCCGGGTTGCAGGCTCACAAGCCTCCCATTATCACAGCAGCCCTCCAGTCCCAGCCTCCCGCTGTCTCACACAGACTCAGCCTCACGTACAAACACCGTCTCCCAGTCACACCCCAACTCACACCCGGTTGGACCCGCACCTGCACAGCCACACACACAAACTCTCAGTCACACCCAGGCGTGACACAAAGACACACACGTTTACCCAGCACCCCTCCAGCACCTCACACACGTCCCCGTCAGTCACTCACACGTGAGTCCCGCCCCCTTTCCCACACTGGGGGTGCGGGCGAGGACTGGAGGGGCTGTAAAAGCCAGGCGTCTCCCGCCGTGATGGGAGTAGTGAAGGATAAGGGACACTCAAGACCCCCTGAAGTCCCCCCACAGCCCCTCTCGGCTCGAGCGAGATGGCAGGTGTGGACTCCGGGTCACCAAGAGGTTGAGAACCCCGAAGCTGGGCTGGCGATTGTGCCCCAAACCTTACCAGCTTGAGGCTGGATTTGAAGCGTCCCTTCTTATTTCCAAAGCCAGGGTGGATGTCCCAGCCCCTCCCTCGCTGCGACCCCCATCCCTCCCAGTCCTGGGGGCTCATGGAGCCCCAAATCCCGTTTCTGCCGGGACCCCCTGGGCCCCCTCCCTTCCTGGAGCCCTCTGCGCCCGCACCTGCCGGCCGGGCCCCTACCTGTCCGGCGAGGCCTGAGC